CTACCCACTGCCACGGACCCTTGGAAACTCATGTCTCCAGTGAATCAAGTGGTATTGCACAGAAGCGTAGGTCCTCTCTCCATAGTCAGGAGCTGTCTCTCTACCTGTCCAACAACAAATGTTACATCGAAAAAAAAATTTTTTTTGATACCAAACCAGCAGTAAGTTCTTTTTCAGTTTTGCCCCAGGTGCAAATACACATCAAAGGGAAGAGCAACAAAATGTGAAGACCAATGGGATAATGTTCAAAAAGAGCAAAGATTATCTACACAGAAAAAAAAGAATTTTAGTTTTTCATTATTATTACTTGAGAGGCAACTTTTTAGGCTAGTTAATGTAAGATCAAAGATGATAATTATAAAATATGTTTTAGAAAACAAGCATTTCCCCATATTTTTAATAATTATTGAATAAGTACATGAAGATGACTGTTTTCCCTCATAGTTGCATTTACTGAAACATGACTGCACATTATGGCTCCTAGGTGCAATAGGAGGGGTAGTGAAATCCTTCTCAAGATTTCTCTAACCTGATGCCAAGATCTGAAAGTGCATCTATCTGACCATGACCAGGTACGGGAGCACAGCACTGAGCGCTTATTCTTGGCCACTGAGCCACAAAAAAATGCAAGACTCATAGTTCTGAAGGAAATATGCACCAATTATGCGGAACAAATATAGCTACCTCCCAGAACGTGCTCCATGATAAACTGATAAGGAATAGAAAAAAGCCTGAGAGTAGGGAGATGCCACTTCCTGAACAGCATAATGACAGGCACATATCCTTCAGTGTGTCACGTAGCTTCACTGTTAGGACAGTAATATGTACATGACTCAGCCCAACTTTTGACAGACTGTTAACAATTCCTGCTAATTAATATTGTGCTTGTGGGGGGAAAGTAGAAAGGTAGAGGAAGTTAACACTCCTTAGAAACACTGAGGTAAGAGGGACTTTCAAACTCACTCAATAAACAGTGCTTTAAACACTTTCAAATACAACTTGTGCTTGATTAGTGGCTAATATTAACTTACAGTCAGCTACATCAATCTGTGTACAATATGCTGCAGAAAAATAATCACGAGCTATTTCATTCTTTGAATATTAGTCCTTATAACCCTTCCATTCTCAACTTGGTTAATAAGAACTTTGTGCAAGGGTAATGCATGGGTAAAGAATATCTAAGGTCAAATGACTGCAATTCCATAATGGTGGCATTAGAATTCATCAGACTGCCTAACAGAATACGGTGAGGAGGCCAGGTTTTTTGTTTTTTTGTTTTTTTTTTTCCTTTTCTGAAAGGAGTAGACAGAGGTCTCCTGATTTCCTCCCCAAATGCCTGCAACAGCCAGGGCTGGGCTAAGCCAAAGCCAGGAGACCAGTTCTCAATCTGAGTCTCTCATATGGCCAGCAGGGACCCAAGTGCTTGAGCCATCGTCTGCTCCCTCCAAGGGTATGCATTAGCAGGAAGCTGTAATCAGAATGGAACCAGAACTTGGACCTAAGAACTCCAGACATGGGATATGGGCGTTTTCAGGCAGCTTTTCAACCACTGCACAACATGCTTGTCTCAAGACTAAAGTTTACTGAGCCTCTTTTGTGTGCTGAATAATCTTATCTATTGAGTCTCATTTAATCCTTAAAACATCATTTTGAGGAGGAATTAACATGTGACATGAGAAGCAAGGACCCTGCAGCTCCTGGGAGATTAACAGACCACAAAGGACCACTTAGGTAACTGGAATTGGGATTCAGTTCCCATGAACCCCCAGAGCCCACACCTCTCTCTCCTACACTCTCCTTTCTCTGTAATTCTCTGTAGACTGTGCTTGCACAGAACCTGCTGCTTAGAAATCATACCTCCTGGGAAATCATCTCAGAAACTGCTGAACTTTTCTAATGCATTATCAGTGGCTCTGCTACGTAAAATTTCCCACCAAAGATGAAATGACCAAGTCATTTACTATCACGACCAACAATGTCTGCTAAAATAGTAACTTCTAAACAATGTGGAGATCTCAGCTCTTGCTCTGATCCCTGCACTGGCCTCTCTCAGACCAGAGACCACTTGTGCAACCTGCAAGCTCGAGAAGTTCCCAGTTTGCTTTGAAATAGTAAATGTGCAATATTGCTAATTAATTATTTAGCTTTACTACTTCAACTCTTCGAAAAACAAAACGAATTGGAAGTGTTGCTAAGAGCAGAGATTGCAACTGAAAATAATAAATGATAGGCTGGTGGATGGAGGGGGCTTAAAAACGCATTCTAAAACTTGAGTTAACATAGATTTTGTCTGGTGCGATCTGGCAGGAGTTTGAATTAATTTACTTTGATGGCCACAGAAATAGTACAAAAGTTGGGAGGCTAAAAATGGTTTTAAAATGATAACATGTAAGGAAATTGTTTGGCAAACTTTTTCTCCTGAGAAACTATAAAAACATAATAAACACTAGAGGATATGATCCCATATCCCTCATTAATAAGGTGGAATTAATAAGGTTTTACTGCAATAAACAAATTATTTATGGAGTTAGTCTCTTTCTTTCTAGGCTTTATTAAAATGTTACAAACGGCCACAATATACACAAGGGAACCTAAGGCACTGTTTAACTTTTTAAAACAGAAGTCTGGTTATTAAGGTACAAGGATCTCCTTATCCGACACTGTGCTGAGCCTTAAGGGCTCTAGATAAATAAAATGTCTATCATCATTGGTTCACTTTAACAATTTTTAAAAAATGTTCTCCTACAGGTCTTTCCCACACAGATCATGCTCTGCCTTACAAGATAGTGAACACAGTTTTATCTTTCCTTGATGAACCAGAGACATTAATACTGCAAACAAAGGTAAGGGCCTGAAATCAGACAAACCTGTGTCTTTGGAGACCACTGTTGGACTCACTGGGCATCATTTAATAAGGCATGAAGGAGTCTTTCCTTTGCTTTGTGAAAGACAGAAGGAAAAAAAGTGTCTGTGAAGTGGTACTTGGGTTTTTCAAGTGCAGAAGTGAGGGAGCTCCTGAAGAGACCAGAAGCTTTTAAGAATGTTAAAATGTTCACTAGAATTTTTAAGGCTGTTAAACCTTGCTTTCTAATGATAGATAAATATTTCATGAATAAATTTTTAACACTTTATTACATGTTTTCAGTTTTTTACTTCTAATGTGTATTTTATATCATGTTTTTGAATTACTAAAGATATTTTAATGTATCTTGATAGCAAGGTTTTTACTTGACAATGCAAAATAAGGATGTCAGTCAAAGGGTAGAGGAACACATGAACTTACAGACGTAATCTGATACTCTGCATTAGACATTAGTCATTGCTACAATAAGGAAGAAGACTCTGGATTTTAAAAACACTTGCTTATCTTATGGCGAATGAAAAACAGCTGATTATTTAAATGAAGCAAAATAAATATTTCTTGGACTCTTAGGTAATATATACGTTTTTAAAATCATCTCTCCTAACAAGAGTGGATAACTCAGTCACAGGAGTTTCCAGGCACAAATTAATCAGAAGATTCAGACCACTGCTTAGTGTGAAATGTGTTTCAAATACACACCTTTATTCCCCTGACAGCAAAATATTATTATTCAGACAAGCCACACAGGACAGAAGGAATGTTTCCAGGGAAAGGAGGCTGTAATCTTTAGTTAGGCTTTTTGTAAAATGGTCCATGAAAAAAACTTGGTGTGTCTGCCTAAAGGTAGTAAAACTGTTCAGTGTCTACATCTAGTATTTGCAGCAGTTCCATTTGTATCATAAAAGACCACTTTTGCTGTTTCTAATTATTTCTTGAATAAACTATCAAAATATTTAGGTTTATCAACTTAAAGAATGTTTGTCTGATCTCAGAAAGTACAGAGAGCAAAATGTTTGGAGAACAGGAGTATGGAATTAATTTTCTTATCAAACGCAGAGACATTATTCTCGGAGTGTATCCTGACAAGCATATATTAGGCACTATAAGCAAAGGTTTAAGGACCTCCTGGTCATCTGGAGAAAGACAATCCTTTCATTGTGCTGGCAAAAACGTTTTTGGTTTCCTGCCATTAAACCCAAGTGCCAGAGAAAGTCTAAGCAGAGTTGGACTAGTATTACACAATATACTCTTTAAGAGAATAATGTATACCTGTAAGAGTAATTTTTATTACCTAAGAAAATAAAAAACTACATTCGCTCTCAACATAGGAGCAGAATGTGCATAATTATCTGCTTCTGGTAAGACGTAAATTTTTCAACCTATTTTAAACATTCTGTTTATTTCTTGCCTAGTGAGTCAATTTTACCATTTGTAAGGGAGGAAACAAGGAAACCCAGAAAACCCCTACTAATTTCTTCTAAATTGAATGGTAGTTTCATGGAGCAGTTTTCATTTAATTTATATGATCAGATTGTGTTAAGTAGAACCAGACTAGGGGGTTAAACACTTCCATGTGTTACAAAGGCCCAGAACTTTTCCTGAAATGAGACACCATTTTGAACTTAGACCTTACCTGTTGATTCCAGAAACAGCTGCAACTCCGCCTAGATTTTATCCCCTCTCCAGCCCTCTGTGTCACATTTAAGCACACGTAGAAGTTGCTGTCCCCTGTCACCTTCTGTCATCTGGGAGGGCCCCTCCCTCTGCCACATTCCTGGACCACCAACAGCTACCAGATTCCCCCCCAACCCCCATTCATCACCACTGCCTTCCTCCTCTGTGTACGGAATGAAGAATTAATAAATGCAGGGAAGGAAGGCAGCACTGACAAAATTCTGGACACCTGACTGCAGGACTGGAGCCTCCCTGGGCCTAGTAGGATCTGTACTTTCACAACTCACCCCGTGTGCATAGGGCATTTTGGTGACCACAATCACCACTCCCCTCCATTTGATGTTCAGTGAGTCACGAAGAATCCTAATTTCAAATCCAAAGACTCCAGTGTGATGATAACAACATACAAGTACCGATACCTGGACAAAGATTAGTATTTGACAATGGATAAAGATTGGTATACCTTCCCTTCCTCGGGGCTTTGTTGACATGAATTGTGAACATCGTCTTCTCTTACTAATTTTCCAGGCCAGGAAGTCAGTCCCTTGATTTGGCCCCAGACCAAGTCGCCAACATTGAACGTCCTTGGTCTGTAATGTATCAACTCATTGGAAGAGGGGGAGTCTGGATTCCTTAGGTCATCTTCACTACTAATGCTTTTAGCGTCTGAAGGGCTAGGCACACACCCATTAATGCTTTTGGCATTGAAGTCTCCATTGTAATGGATGTAGTCTTTGACCAGAGAACTTTCCAAACTATTTGAGGAACTTGGAGACTGCTCCTCTAGGATCAGGTCTTGCTTTGCAGTGCTGAGCAGCTCTCCAAACCCCCGATTCTGTCGGGGTCTGTTCCCATTAATGTGTGCACATCTTTCCACAGTGTTCTCCAGTCTCTCCTTAAAACTCATCATAGTTCTTTTGTAGTTATTATACCTGAAATTTTCCTCCAGAATTTTATCCCCTTGACAGTTTCTTGGTGGTAACAGGATTGGGTGCTGCTCCCCAGGCAGAAATGGCAGTGTGGAGACGTTGTTGGACCTTTCATGACAGGGACTACTGTGGATATGGCCTGGGTGATCTAAAAATTCCTCATACTTCCACCTGTTTCGTTCTCCTCTGGGGCTCTGCTCCCCATCCCACTGCTTTTTGGAGGCGTGGCAACTTGCTGACTTGAAATACTCAAACCCATCGCCTTCGTTTGCGTTTTTCCCATGGTCTAGATTCTTGGGCAGCCGAGCCCCTCTTGCATTCCTCAGTCTACCATCATGCTCAACACCTCCCATGTTTCGTCCATGAATGACAGCACTGACAGCACTGGAGAGATTTAATGGGTCACCAATTGAGGCAGTGAAGGCACTCATGGCACTCAGGGCGGGAATCGGGCTGATCTGAGTTGTACTGTTGACCGCAGTGGTGATGACAACCTGCATTCCTTTGCTGGCTGCATCGACAACTGCCTTGTAAATGGCATCTACAGAAGCATCACCTTGGCCACCCACAACGAGGCCATCCTTCATTTGCTGACCAAGAGATGGGTCAATCCTCGGTTGCAACTCACAAGGTGTCTCTTGGAAAGGTGGAAGCGCAGTGTTTGGATTCTCAGGAAGTGCTGTGAGCCCCGGCTGAGTGTTTATTCTTTTATTTAGAAGAGCTGCATCTTCCTGCATTCTCACCTTAAAGAAACAGACAGTAAGCAGTGAGAGAAGGAGAGAAAAACATAAAGCCCTTAAGGAAAAAGACAATTTTAAGATTTATCAAAAGATAAATATAAGGAGGAAATATAAAGAACAAGCTTCAAAAAATGAAATAAAAAGTCACTTGGCATACATCTTGATTATTTTCCCACTGTATGTTTGGATGAAGTCATTCGGCAGATATAATTCACTTATTTTGTCCCCATCATTGCTAAACATTTTGTAATTCTGCTAAATAAAATTTGAGGCGGCTAGACATAAAAAGTTTTCAGGGGATGATTCCACCTATTCAGTGTTGTTATAGGTCTTTGTAACTTGAGATTCAAAGAGAGAGTCAAGTCACAGATGGTCAAACCAAGGAACTGGATTAGGAAAATGATTTCTAATTTACTGATGTTTCTACTTAATGAAGTGAAATATAACATAAAGCAAAACACATATACTCCATTCTCAACAGTAAAATATTCTGATATGAGGTTATGCTTTTGAAGTTTGTAGATGGGACAGTAACACCTGCTCCTTAGCTTTATCAGGTGACTGGCGTAGGGACAGGCCCAACAATGACAATGGCTCTCTAGGAAGTAATTCTCAATGGGAAGAGGTAAAGGAAGACAATGGATGCCTCTCAGTGGAGCATGTCAGAACCTCAGTACAGGAAGGAGGAGTGCAGTCTGAAAACATCCTTGAGATTACTCTGACTTCATTAATATCCACTTAAGAATTATTGTTCCAGACCCTTGATATTTTGACTTTTCCTCCCAAAGATAATTTTCTTCCTGGCTTTACATCTTTCCCTATTAAAGCAGAACCTGGGATCCATCAGCCTATCAACCATTCTTCTGCTACTCTTCCCTTGTCTACACCTACCAGATAAAATCCCCACATTGGAATAATTCAATTGCCTGTCTTACCTGCATCTACAGTGAGGGTGCTGAGTGTCTGTCTATAGGAATTATAGCTTCTAACCTCATCTGGGGGCTTGTTGCTGCTCATCAATCCTGTGATCCTCTAGTCAGATAGTCAGATATCATTCTCATTCTCCATAACTATTCACATCTTCATCCATTTCTTCAAGCCGGCTGCTATACCATCTCTGGCACTATTCTTAGTAGATGACCTTACTTAACAGAGAAAATGGAGCTCGTCAGGTGAGAATTCTAATTTCTATGTTCTGATAGTCTCCTGACAGCACACACTTTTCTGCAAATGGACTTGTCGTAAATCCAGTCCTGAATCCCAACGTAAGAGTCCCCCGCGTATTCTGAGGCCTACATTTATGCTCTGGATCCCAAGTTCCTCCTTAGGGATCTTGCCTCACCTGTTATCACTTTTTTCCTTTATGTTCAACCTCTTACACATTTAGCATAATGATTATATACTTGGCTTTCACATACTAAAAGTTCACACTCAAAGTGATAATCCCCTTGTGGCACTGCCCTATTTCTCTTAGGTTCTTCATAATTAAATTTTAGAAAAAAATAATCCACTCTTTTTAATACATCACCTTTCATTCACCATTCCATCCACTGCAATCTGGCTTCCCACCACTTCCCCAAAACTGCTTCTCCCCAGTCACTGGTGATGACTTTGCTGCTAAGACTAATGGGCTCTCCAGGGCCGGCACCGTGGCTCACTTGTTTAATCCTCCGCTTGCAGGTGCCGGCATCCCATATGGGCGCTGGGTTCTTGTCCCGGTTGCTCCTCTTCCAGTCCAGCTCTCTGCTGTGGCCCGGGAAGGCAGTGGAGGATGGCCCAAGTGCTTGGGTGCCTGCACCCATATGGGAGACCAGGAGGAAGCACCTGGCTCCTGGCTTCAAATTGGCGCAGCGCCGGCCATGGCGGCCATTTGGGGAGTGAACCAATGGAAGGAAGACCTTTCTCTCTGTCTCTCTCTCTCACTGTCTGTAACTGTGTCAAATAAATAAATAAAAGACTAATGGGCTCTCTTTAGCCTTTATCTTATTTTTCTCTTTGGTGACTTGGTTTAGCGTTTCCTCTTCCATTCTAAATCGCTTTATTACAAATACATAAGAACATTTTGTAATTGTCAAAAGATAAAAACATTTTCTGCACCACTATTCCTCACTCAAACCTACATTTTCCTACCCCATTTGAAACTCTTTTCTTGTCTCGTAGGCAGCTAGTGATGGACTGCATCCTTGCAGCGACTTCTAACACATTAACATGTGTAGGTATATACCTAGTGTTCCTCCCTCCCTCCCTTCCTTTCTTCCTTCCTCTCCTTCTTTCTTCTGTTCATCAAAAATGGGATTCTACCACAGCACTGTTCTGCAATACTACAGCATTGAAGTCTTGTGATTTTACACATTTTTCATATAAGATTATGTATATCTGCCTAATATTTTCAATGGCCATACCATAACATATTTAACTATTTCACTACTGATGGCAAGTAAGCGGTTCAAATTTTTGATACCATGAATCACGTTATAATGAAATTCAGGTATGAGCTCTTTTGCTTTTCTAATTTTTTTTACTTATAAAAAGGAAACAAATTTCATGTATTTTATAATATATATATATTTTTTTTTAAGAGCATAATGATACTTCCCACTCTATCCTCTCTCCTTCCCTCCTTCATGGACTGTTTTGCTTTCATTTGAAGATTCCTCTGAAACAGACAAAGAAGTTGAACTTCCTGGCCAAAGGGCATGTGTATTTAAAAGTCTATCCAGGGTGTGGGGAGCAAACCGGACTAGACTGAGTTACTGGAATTAAGACTTATTCTATGCATCTGCTCTCCCACAATATGGCGCTGGGAGAGAAGTAAACAGCTTCCGCACAGCTGCCTCCAGTTCAACCAATTAACTGTAGGACTTGCTCCTGATTGGAGAGCAGCGTACTCGGCGTGTGGGCAGCCGAGTTGGGATTGGCGGAGGAGGACTATAAAGGAGGAGAGAGACGGCATGCACCAGAAACATCTAAGGGGAACATCTAGCTGAAGGAACACCTGTGCAGCCCCCGAGAAAGCCGGCTGGCGGTGTGCCGCTCCCCTGCGGAAGTGGGGAATGTGGCCAGGGGGAACTGCCCTTCCACGGAGGTGGAAGGGATAGTAGCCAACCCGGGAAGAACCAGCAGCAAACCCGGGGAGGGCCGAGCAGACAAAAAGAACAGCGCAGGGTTCAGTGTTGCTCCTCCACGAAGAGGGGGAGCGACATAATGGTGCCGTGACTCGGATAGGAAACCTAGGACGGATAGGAAACTTAGGAGGGAAGAAATGACTCGGATTAGGAAACCTAGGTTGGATAGCAAACTTAAGAAGGAAGAAACGGGAAGAACTGGGAAAATACCGGAGAGAGAGACTAGCAAACAGCCTAGGGAAAAGCCGGACGAAAAGGGTGCCGGAAGAAGCTATTGAAAGCCTAGGCATAGACTCAGATACGGACTACGGGGGGAAGCTGGGAGAAATCTCTAAGGTCGAAAGCGAAAGTGAAAGCTAGAACAAACAGACTCGGACGCGGACTGTGGGGAGAGGCCAGGAGAAATGAGGGAGGAATATCGTTGGAGGAAAGTTTGGGGAAACATACCGGGTAGAGAAAAGTGTTAGGGAAATTGAAGCCGTGGGGGGCAGGCCAAGGCGGACACGAAAGCCACTTTGGGATTCTCAAGTTAGCCCGGGAATAGGGGGCGAAAAGTTGAAACCAGAAGCTGAAACGTGAGCCTGGTTGGGATCCGTCTGATTAGCCCGGGGAGCAAAGGACGGGAAGCCAAACCGTGGGGCGGAGACGTATGCTGGGTTGAATTCGCCAGGCTAGCCCGGGGAACTTAGATTGAATGCTAGTGGCGGACACGTAAGCTACGCTGTGTTACTCGCGGAAGCCGCCGCGTGCAGAGAGAGCACGGGGCGTGAATAGATAGGGAACGGGGCTGGCGCGAGGCCGTGGTGCAGACGCGAAGGGCGTGGAGACTGCGGAGCGCGCGAAGCCAAGCCGCGCAAAGCCGGGAAGCCGCGCAGATGAGAGAGGCTGAAGCAGCTCAGAGCTGGCGAGGCGCCGAGAAGCAGCCTCGGGGCGGGGCGAGGCGCCGGGAAGCTGCGCGGAGCCGTGAAGCTGCCGGCAGCGCGAGGCGCAGGGAAGCTGCAGGGATAAGAGAAATAGAAGTTTAGAAATAAAATGAGAGAAATAAGAATGCTGGGAGATAGAAGTAAAATGGGAGAAATAGGAATGCCCGGAGATAGAGAAATAGAGAAATAGAAAGGCCTCCCCTCAACATGGCAACGAGAAAGTTTGGATTCGGTCTGCCTGATTAAGTGAGGCGATGAGCACGATGAGCACCTGCGGGCAGCTAGCAGCTTATGCGCCGCAGGTCACCAAAGACAGGCACGAATTAACATCAGTAAGGCTTCCCCACAATACAACAATGAGAAAGCTTGGATTCGGTCTGCCTAATTAAGGCGGTAAGCGCCAGCAAGCAGCTCGACCAGAGTATGAGCTGCAGGTCACCGAAGATAGGCACGAACCAACACTAATAAGTCTCCCCCACAAAAAGGCAATGAGAAGGCTTGGATTCGGTTTGCCTGATAGAGCTTGTAAGCCCCTGCAGGCAGAGCAAAGCATGCGCTGCAGGGCACCGAACACAGGCACGCATCAGCGCCTAAAAACCTCCTCACAACATGGCAAAGAGAGGACCCGGATTCGGTTTGCCTGATTGATAGGACTTGTAAGAGCCTGTGGCAACTCTAGCAAGTAGAGCAGAGTGTGTGCCGCGGGACACCGAAGACAGGCGCGTATCAACGCCAAAAATAAAAAGAAAGGGGGATCTGTGGGGAGCAAACCGGACTAGACTGAGTTACTGGAATTAAGACTTATTCTATGCATCTGCTCTCCCACAATATGGCGCTGGGAGAGAAGTAAACAGCTTCCGCACAGCTGCCTCCAGTTCAACCAATTAACTGTAGGACTTGCTCCTGATTGGAGAGCAGCGTACTCGGCGTGTGGGCAGCCGAGTTGGGATTGGCG